TGCTTCCACCGTCAAATAACCGTCTGCTTAAGATCCAAAATGCAAAGTGCTTGCATCTCTTCCACAACACTGTCAGCTCAGTGTGTGACATCTCTTAAATCCAGAAGTTTGCTTCAGATCTTTGAGATAAGTGGTGCTTGTCTGGACATTCTCCTCTTATTGTACACTTGACTGCAACAGCTCTTTTTCCTGTTTTGTTGCCTGTTTAATTTCCTGCAACATTCTGGATTTAATCAGGGGAGAATGCTTTGTGTCAGTGGACTCAATTGCCTGATTACTTTTTATTGCCTTCATGTGCCATGCTGATATGGTAGCCATTGCTACTAATTTCTTAAGTTTGAATCTGATTTCTCTGAGGTACAGGTTGGGGAAAGTATAAGCCACCAAGCTTTTTGGGCATGAGGGACACACAATTAGATTTGATTGTTTTAGGATGTGTTAATGATGAATGTGTTGAGTAAATTTGCCTGACTTAAGCAGCGGCTAGAGATGGTGCTCTCATGCCAGTACAAGGATCAACCTCACTGATGTGCTCACTGCTTGGCTTTTAGCTAGGAAGCAGTATTCATCTGGTCGCAGTGTTTGCACAGGTTATTTTTCTCTTCAGGGATTAGATATCTACATGCAGTATAGAAAAGATATTGGTGTAGGGCCATGTGGGCTGTTCTGCCAATTCATCTGTGTGTTTATTCCATCCACTGAAGATATGAGAAGTAATAGTTGAATGCTACTGAAAGGGTCTTGACACTTTCCCCCTGGTATTTGGGGGAAATCCATGAACAGTAAAAGCATTTCACTACCTGAGGTGCTATCTAGAAAGATTATCAACTCCCTTTCTTTGAAAGGTTAAAAAAAGGCTAGACTACTTGGTATGATTTAAATAAAGGATATTAAGCTTTGGGAACAGAGAATTGACTAGGCCAGCCTGTGATTCTGTAAGCTTTGAAGGTTGTTTACTGTAGGGATTGAGCGCATCCCTCCTAAAATAAACTCTTCAAAGACGGTTGAATTTAATTCACTGAGAATTGGAGAAGAGACCAGAATCCACAGCATTCTCAAGGCCAGCTCTTTTTGGTTTGGAAAGAGGTATTTGGTTTGGAATTAACTTGTTATCATTAAGTTGTATTTCCCTAATGGCCTGTATTCTAACTTTGCTTGTTTCTTTCATTACTGACTTGTGCAGTACTGTTGATGCTCCTGCTAGCCAGGTGACTTACAGACCCACTAAACCAAGTGCCAATGAGGTCCAGTCAGGTGGAGATTCATTCAGTTTCTTTATTCAGCTGAGCAAAGCAACCGGGTGTCTGCTCCCTACACACAGGCAGGAAGTGACACACAACACATTCCACCAACTCATCCTTCTTATAGCTTGTCCTTACTCTTTCTCACACAATCTCGCCCCCGTTGTTCCCTCACCCAGTCCCCTCTCAGGGTCTGCCTGACCCTTCACCCAATCCCCTTGCGGGGCCTGCACGTCCACTGCATGCCTGGCCTCGTGCAGGTGCTTATCTGCGCCCAACCCCCTCACTGGGGGAGCGTGGCCACTGCGGCCAGTCCTTGCGTGGGGGGTCTTCTTCCACGCACTGCCTCTTTATCAACATTCTTTTGCCTTCCCTTTTTCCTCTCCAAAGCAAGCAGTTATACAAAAAGCAAATGGCGTTTGTTAGGCTGATCAAGCTCCTGTGCAAGTGGCTTTTTACAAAAGCAAATAGCGTTAGTTAAGCTAAAAGCAAGTAACATTAGTTAAGCTAATCAGGCTCCTTCAGTACTCTTGCTTTGTATCACAAAGCTAACCTAGCAGGTCAGCCTTAATGTATTAACAAAAACTTTGTCCTGATCTGCTTAAAAAGAAGGGTAGAAGATGGTGAATGATACTTTGATAGTTGTTGAGATTGTGACTTCTGCAGCTTCTTACAAAAAAGTGCACTCTCTGTGGAGTTACCTCTGCACAGAGACCAGCTCTCCTCAGCACAGTCAAATAGGTACACACTTTACATTGAAGTTGTAACTATTAACACTGAGCTTCATATGTTTTTTAATATTGGACACATTGCTTAGTCATCAGCCATCTTCCTCAAAATTATTGCCAGTTTTTCAACTCAGTGGAACATTGGAAAATGGTTTCCCCACAGAAAACTGTGACTTTTTCATCAAAATAGTAATGGAGGACATGATTTTTGCTTTGCTTTGCTTTGCTTTGCTTTGCTTTGCGATACCCCATTATTCTTACTACATTTTGTGCTCTCAGTCAGTAAAAAGGAGGCTTCTAAGGCAGATTTAGAATTGTTGATATATCATGCATATAACTAACATTTCATAGATGAAAGTAGGGATATCTTACAGACTCGTAGCACCCATATTCTCAAAGTGCTGCTCCCCGAGGAAGGGATATTTCTGGAGGCTCTTTCCTATCTAGTCCCTCCACCAATTTAAAAGCAAACAATGTTTTAGGAAAAACTTTATTGTCTTACTGTAAGTTAACCAAAGTTCAGCATACACTAAAGCAGACACTGCATGTTGCCTTAGCATATGCATGCACATATCTAAATATATAAGCGCTAGAAACAGATGGCTACCTCCCACCACACACAATGTAATGTCTAGAGACCCAACAACTTGCACTTGCAGTGTTTTTTTAAAAGTATCCTCCCAAAGCTTTGAAAGATAAAATAGATATAGGGCAGTAACCTATTAAGCACATGGCACCACTGTAAATTTATTGCACAACTTAGATGAATACCAATGTTGTTCACTTATGTGATGGGTTTTCCCAGAAAGCCCATTGCTCCAGGAAATGCTATCCATGTTGTGCTACAGGTAGCCAGTGTTAGCTCTTGTGACCCAACTTGGGCAGCTGTTAAGTTTCATAAAAAAAATAAAAATGAAGTGTGATGCACTTTACTTAGTCCCTCCTTCTGTTATGTGCCAGCTTTGATGTGAGGTTACTGGCTTAAATTAACTATAGTTCCAAGGTTCCCAAACCAGGAATCTCTGGGTTGATTTTAGTTAGCAAACAAGGGAACGAAGCCAGGATCACATTCAGAGATGTACTTGGTTTGTTAATCAACATTAAGACACGATTTGGATGCTGTGGGGAATTCTGTCTTAATGCAAGCTAGGTTCTTCACACCCAAACTGGCACATGGTGTGTGTGTGGGTGGGGGGGAGGTGGAGTGGGGGATCATTTGGCTCCAATATTTGTTTGCAGCTTCATAAACCATGGTTTATGAAGCCTTGAACAATTAAACCAGAACAATGATTTACCAAGAATAGGAACCAGAAAATCAGTACCAGCTTTAAAAATGAAGGGATAATTGAAACATGTAATAGTATGTGCTATATTTAAAAGAAAAAGTTTGAAAAGAGAGGTTGCTCTAGAACCTGGCTACCTGGTATAATTAAGTCTCTTAAATCAGAACTGTATACAATTTTTGATAAAGGAAGTTTTTTTAAACATCATTTATTTCCTCCTGGAACAAATAGACACAGTCAGCTGTGCATAATTTTATTTGGCCAAAACCAGCTCCAACTCAACCTAGTACACATGTTTGCTGTTTTGTTAGTGAAGAGACATGCCATGAAATCTGCCTCAGAATGAGCCCAGCTTGGCATTGCAAAAATTACTCCAAATGCTTGACAATACCATCTGGGTTTAGTTTCTCATTTTGATTAGACTTCCTTGGGATTATCATTTCTACAGTTGATACACAATTTGGTCAAATATTGGCCTGCCAATGGTTGGAAGAAATATCTAGCCATTTTTGCACTAAAATAATTACAAAGAGATGGTATTCACTTCCCCTTTCATGCTGTTTCAAAATGCCTGAGATAAGTACCCAACAACACATTATGGCTAATTTTTCTTGCACCTATTATTATAAGTCTCAGTTTTATCTGCCTCATAGAATCACTATTATTGATCTGTATGCACATATTACAAGGGTCTTTCAGAATCTAAAGATGATTTCTCAATGTATCGCATAGGCAATTATTTTTGTCATTGCCTTCCTGAACCCTTGTTTGATTATTACTGCTGCTCAGAGGTTCATTATATCAGAATTACATGTGGTGTTAACATGAACCAGTGACAGCGGAGGCCTGCTTCATAGGTCTGTTTGGAATTCCTCCCCCTTCTGTGCTAACAATCTTTGTGAATGTGGATTGAATATGGATATATTGAAATAATCATTGTGGTGTACTCAGGACCTAATTTTAATTCTACAGGACAGTCAAAAGATATCACTGGTAAATTGGACCTAAGAGAACCATTGCACAAAAAAAAAAAAAAAAAAAAAAAGAAAAAAATGAATAATTTGTCCAGCTGTGTTGGAGGAAGAGAGAAAAGGGGATTTGCATGAATCTGTGGTTTAGTGTTACATGTGAATTGGAGTGAAGTGTGGAAATTAGTCAAGTTTATCAGGGGTTTTTGTCTTGCATCCAGGCCTACCAAATGTCCACAAATATGATGTAATATAGAAGTAAGTTTTATGCACCTGGAAATCCATAGTATGGTGGTCCAAATTCATGTAAGATGGTTGTATCTGCATACTTGCATTTTTGTAAGGCACAAAAGTCTTGATTTATTTTAAAGAAAGCTAACGAAGTGGAATTGGACTCCACAGGTGGAGGCTTTATGCAGCTGTCACCTCAATGGATGGTAGCCAAGCAGTAGACTGTGAACCTGGCTTGACTGTGTGTAGGTTCTGCCTGTTCGGAGCCTCAGCTGGACTCCCAGTAGTGTCTGCTAAGTAATAAAGATCTTGCGTAATCTATCACTGAATAGTTCTTAATTTCAAAGAGGACAGGGAGTACCTTGTGGATGACTGCTGCTAGTGTTTTGTAGATGTGTGAATAGTTAGGAGGAAGTGTTTATTTTGAGGATTGCATAAACTGAAGATGGATGATTAGGTAATGCTACCTGTAAAACCTAAAAAATTTCTTTCTGTTTCTGATTTGCGTTCTTTTGAAGGTTACAATGTGTGTTTTCTTCTCTTTCATAGTGGTGTGACAAAAATGGTGGAGATTTCTGGGGAAGGTGGCCCACTAGGCATCCATGTGGTACCATACTTTTCATCCTTAAGTGGAAGGTAAGGGGATTTCTTAATGAAAAAACATGTACTTGTAAAAGGAAAAGGTCCTCTAAATTACTCAGTATATCACTATCAAAATTTAAAGTTCTTGTATGATGACTGAAGGGGAAAAAAATCTTTCCAGTTTCTCTAAATGATTGATAATTTTGAACATCTCTATCAATCTCCTCTTGTTCGGCTTGCTTTCCACTTCTTTGCTCAGCTCTCCAGTCCACACGCAAGACTTGGGCACGTTCACAGCATAGTTCTTAATTACTGCATATACATATACTGCACTAACTTCTGAACAATGTGTGAGACATGGCCTCAGCTCTAGGGCACCAAGAGAAAGAGAAAGGGAAGCTACTCCTTGCCTAGGAAAACTAAAACTTTCAGGCTGTCTTTAACTACCCCACAGCTCCCCACCCCAGCTCATTGTTGGGGGTTGCTTTACGGAAATGCCTGTGGCAACACTGGGCTGCATTGCAGGGCTGAGACAGTACACTACTTCCCTCTTCCTCCAGCAAAATAGGTATAGTAACTCTGGGCCATTTTGCAGGACTGGTATAATCCACACTCTCCAAGTTTCAGCTCAGGGGAGTTTGTGAACCCATCTTTGCCACTTCTTTATTTTTGAATAGGGACCCTGTTGCCTCATCACAGATACACTAACCTTCTGGATTTTTGAGCTGCTTTTTATGGAGCAGGAATCACTTCCCACCAAGGAAGACTAAACAAAGCAAAAACCTTAAAAATGAACCAGGAAATTTCTTCTTTAGCCAGCAAAATCACTGAAAGGCAGGAACATGTTAGGTTTTTGCAAAATAAATGGGTAGAATATGTCTAGATTTTTAATACAAGGGGCTGCACTTTGATTATTGTGCAGTGGGTAGAGATCTGCTTCTTCAGACAGACAGACAGACAGACAGACAGACACCCCACTCCATCCCAGTAATCTGGGATTATGATTTCTCCAGAAGAGGCAGCTACGCTCCCCGCCACGCAACACCAATGATTGGCATAGAGCATATCACACTGCATATTTAACAGAAAATAATTGCATGTGCTTTCTCAGGCACGTAAGTTACTTACATCATGAAGAGAATACATAGAAATAATAGCTCAGAAGAGACAAAAGATTTTCTGATTTCTTAGCCATGGGTTTACATATTCCCTTCTTTGCCTGTGTAAGTTGAATCCCATTTTATGCATTTGCAGTCTTGTTGTTTTCTGCCCCACTGCTAACCTTAATCATGGCTACATTCAAACCAGAGCCTGCAACAACCTTGAACCAGCTTGCATATGATAATGATAACTATAATTAATATCCTTCTCCTCTTTCCTTCTTTTAATTTGCAAATATAACAAATCATTGTATGCCACATTTCTTTAGCTGCTAAAATTGCAGATGGAACCATTCCTTTCTGTGCCTAGGTTCTAATGCCACCCAACCAAATGGAAAAGCTAAATAAACTGGCTCCACAGCAACCCATGGAATAATATTAAAGGGAACAGATATTTTCTAATGATTTATGTTAGCAAAAAAGCATTATGTTAATTAAAATTTGGAAAATTAAATCTCCCCTCCCTGATCAGCAGCTGCATTTTCTTCAGTGAATGACAGAGAGAAGACACCATACCACACCAAATAAACTTAAATGCTGCACATTTTTAAATGCACTAAGGAAAATATCATGGAGTACATAGATTACCTGTGGCGAAATACTCATCTTAAGTTTATCAGCCTTACCCCAGTAACTTAAATTTAGAGATGCACATGTTTCCATGTCAAAAAGTGTTAGGTCATTGTAGGAACCATTTCTATGATTTTAATTAAACATATTGGAAGTAACACTTAATTGGAAACTTTTCTGTATTGGTTTAGATTATTACTTTCCTGAATATACTTACCTTTAACGCAAGGGAGGGATTGAGTCTGTTTTACTAAATACTGGGAAGTCTTCCTACCATTGCTTGCTTAGTCCTCCTAGTAAATACAGCCTGAACCTTATCCTTCCCACAGTGGCCTGTCTGTCCCACAGTCTCAGAACTGATAACTGCTGAATCTCTGTGCCATTTGTTCCAGGTACTGCAGTAGGCAAAGTTGAACTAGCTTTGCCTGGTGTGTTATTTTCTTCACCACGTCCAGCAATGGATTCCACAGAGGAGGTGGACGTCAAGTCCCCCACTCTTCTCATTCACTTCCATTCCTTTGATCCAAGCATGTTAAGAATGGGATCATAATGGATTGGGACTCCTCCTGAGGTGAAAGGACCCCATAATGTCAGAGTTTGGGTGCATTGCTGGAGTGAAAAGGAACTCGACATATTCACACATATTCTAGATGAGTCTAGAGGTGCAAGAATATCTGCAGAGCACCCAGCACAAGAATTGTTTCCTCTTGTGGATCATGTTTCAAGGAAGGAAAATGAAAGGTTTAAGGAAATTACACCTTATAACCACACACCACACCTTTCTGTGACGATCTGGGAAGCATTCTGCTTGGGCAGAGGAACATGGCATGTAGTTGTACTGCTGGCAACAGGATTGCATTGCCCAACCTTAGATAGTCAGATATTGTCCCATGAAGATATGCCACTCTCTTAACCATGCGATTCCCCCTTTCTAGAAGCACATCAAGATGTGTTGAATGCTGTACTTCATTGCCACTCATCTGTGCAGTGTCCCATCTTCAACTTTTTCCAGTTCCCCAGATGCTGGCTCACCCCAAAAAGGGGTCTGCATTAAAGCCTTTGAGAATTACAGTGAATTACAGACCAGTTCTGGAGCAGTCCTGGACTGTTCTCTTAGTTCCAAGAAAGGTTTGCATAGCATACTGTTAGTTATGATTTCATAATAAGTAGTTTTGAAGATTGAACAGCCATGTCGGCTTATGAGAAGCAACAGACATAACAATGACACAACTGTTCTGTGATGGAGAAGGAGGGTAGGGTGTGTGGAGAAACTGGACTGATAGCGTAGTGGCGGTGGAGCAGCAGGTGAGGAAGGCGGCTGGGATAGAAAATGCTTTTCATGCTTTTGGAGCTGAGGTGGTGGAAGTTGGGCAACCTGAGTAGCTCCAGCACGGGGAGGGGAGTAGATGAAAAGGGAGCCCACGTGCAGCTTGGGCTGCTGGAGACCAGAGTGGGGCAGGAATAAACCCACTTCTCCAATTGTGACAGCTGAGATAGGAGAAGAAATGGGAAGAGGAGCAAGAGCAGTTTCTCTGTTGGGCAAGCAGGTGAGGGGGAGCCAGACATAAAAGGCCCTTCTAAGCAGAGTGGGAGAACAGTGTGGGGAGGGATGGAACAGTGAGGGTTAGCTGCTTGCACAGTTGCCAGAGAGCAGAGGCGGGACAATGAACAGCACCTGCTTCTCTGGCAGGTATTGTACTATCCATGCCTGAAGCGCAGACAGAAAATATAAGCCACAAAAGGGAATGCTAGGTTTGAAATGTTTTATTTTAAAAACAAGTTCTGGCAGTTATTGATCCGCCAAGGTTCAGGGCAGGGATTGGTAAACTTTATGTCAGGAGCCAACAAAGGCAAGGCAGACCCAGAGCATTCAGTGGGCATTAGAAAAAAGGCTGCTGAAGTAGTGAGGAAGCAAAGGATTGTGGGATGTGCCTTTGTTCCTAAGGCACCTGGGATGTGTTCCCGAAGCAGGCTAGAGGAGTGGGTTGAAAACAACCCACAGCATACCTCAGACAGGCTGGATCGTCTGTCAGGGAACAACCAGCCCATCGCTCCTTATTTTCAGGGTGGCATGGTGCCCAGTATATGCTCAGTTATTTCACTAAGCAAAAAGAATTCTCCAAAAAGTCTATCTTATTCCCTGGCCTGGTGCCTCACATCTTTTAATATTCTTGTTGACAAATGCTTCGAAGTCTGACTTAGCAAAGTTTCCTTTTTGAGAGGCCTGCTATTTCATAATGGTCTTGAATGAAAGATTTCATTATGTCTTTCAGCATAATTTATACATTTTGCATGGCCTTCTTTTCTTGAAACAACCAAAAACTTTTATATGTTGGCTTGTTAGAGGTAATTCAGCTATGAATCAATTTAGAATTACAGATAGTAGGCATTTTTAAAGGTATTTTTAAGGCTTATCACTGTAAAATTGATGATCGTGGAATGGTCTCCACCACTCTATAGAATAGTACTGATAGAGATATTTATTAAATAAATAATGCCTGTGTTTAAAATGTTTTGGATTTGATATGGGTTCATAACCAGCATTTTGTACCTGCAAGATATTTATATAAATAAGTATTTTACACTTGGCTGTACAATAACAGGGAGGAAATTAAATGTTTAAAAATACATTAAATAATCTTAATATTGTGACGCTGTGTAATAAAAGTAAGGAAGTAGTGAGTTTACATTGCCAGAACAACTTAACTCGGTCCATATGTTGGTATTCCATCTGTCAAACGAGAACTTCAGACCAGAGGCCTAACAGACAAAGCTTTGGAATCATTATGTTGGCCACTGTGGGGATGATCTAGATCATTGATGGATAAAACATAGTTTTAAAATGTTCTCACTCTTTTAAAACCATAATTAAGTTTACTGTTGACATCCTGAATGGACTTTAATTAGATCTTTCTGATGTTAGTCACAAAAATGGACTTGTTTAAAAGTGCTCTTAAAATTTGAATCTAACTGCAGCGTAGAGAAGTATCTTAAGAACTATTGTTTTTTAAATGTAATGATATGCAATTAACATTTGCAATGATGTACAATTAACATTTTAAAATAAACATAACAAGGATTTTAAATATAAACTGTAAATTTTAAAAGAATAAATAACTTGCCTTATTTCATTGAAGGTATTTTTATCTTTCCAATTAAATGTTCAAAGCTGCCTACAAACAAAAAAATTAAAACAAAATATGACAATAACTGTTTGCAAATTATAAGGAGGCAGAGGCAGCACATAAAAACAATGTCAGTAGCTTAAATATTTTGCAATTAGGGTGTGTGCATCAAGATTATTGAATGCAGGTGGTGTACCAACCCAAGTTGGGAAATATACTTCTAACTACAGCTGCCACTTGTGGGGTCAGGACCTGATCCAGGAGCACTCCCAGGCCAAAGCTGTGATTTCAGTAAGAAAGCTAACAACTGTGGTTGACACTGGTTGGCTTCCATTTCACTCCTCAGCTATTCTGCTGCACAGCCATGTCACTGCGACCCTTCCTCCTTCTCACCCTCTAAACTGTGTTCTGAAAGTCTCATTATTAAGGCAGCTCAATGGCAAGAGTGGGCAGGAGAAATCATCAGAGATGCTGTGTGCTTGTGGGAACATTTTAGATGCACACCTATGGGCCACTTATGTTCCAGTTATTGTTAGTTATCCTGTCCAAACTGGATAGGTGGTCTGCTGTTCCACATCTTTTTTTCCCTACACTTTTAAAATACTTTAAGAGCTGTCAAACTATTTTCCTCTTTGGTGGGAATGGTTGAGCAGAGGATTAGATTTAAAGTTTTCTTCCTATAAAGGGAGGAAGGAAAGCTTTAGATTTAAACCAGAGAAGTATCCATAGCAGTTCTCATTAATAAAAAAATGTAATGTACAAGGTGCTAAGTGGTCCTACATCTATTGGGAGAAATGGAAAGGGAAAATACTAGCCCTGTCTGTGCCCAATAGTGTAGCCACCAAAGCACATGAACAAGGGGAAAGTCTTTTAAACTGGCCTATCTCTAGTCTGTGCTGGGACAATTTGATATGTGTAAATATACAAACTTACCCTTGGAAAGTAATAGTTATAGGCAAGCAATCCTGATTTCCTCAGTTTTGGAAAATATGTGTTTGCTGATATGCGGTAATCTCTGCCTCTGCCTTACCTTTTATGGTGTTGTCATCAAATGCAAATTTCTCATAGCATAAGAGTTGTGTTGAATCTGGTGAAAGGCTTACCTTGACGAGTATTTCCTTTCCCTCAGTAGCCAACGAGGTGCCTCCTAGGAAGACCAGGAGCAGGACATTAAGGCTGCAATCCTACACACACTTGCCTGAGAATAAACCCCACTGAAATCAAGGGAGTCTGTTTCTGAGAAGGCATGTTTAGGACTGAAGTGTAAAACTACATTGAGTTGAACACTGTCCTGGCTACAGAAGGCTTTTGATCTGGGAGATGATCCCACTGACAGAAAGGAGGAGGAATATGTGGTCGCTCTCTTGCTCTCCCTGCCCCCTTGCGCATACACAGAGAGAGAGAGCGTGAGAGCAAGACTGGCCCCATTATTCCCCCACCCAAAGCACATTTTCATAGGCATATGTCATAGTCCAATAGCGATAAATTGAAATCTGTTGTGTTTTTTATGTTTTCCTCCAGGATTCTAGGGCTCTTTATTCGTGGCATTGAGGAGAATAGCCGATCTAAGCGGGATGGACTTTTCCATGAAAATGAGTGTATTGTCAGAATTAACAACATAGAACTTGCAGATAAAACATTTGCACAGTGAGTTTTGCTTTATGGTTTTATTTTGTTAACAGCCTGGAATGCATGTGGTGCAGATCAAAAGCCAAACAATATTGCTTGTTGCATATGATTAAAACATTACAACTTTGTCTCTGTAACTTATGAAGCCAGGGGTGGGATAGGGCAGCACGACATAGTATCCTTGGAAGTAGATATTTATTTCTTGTGGCTTTTCAGCCAGTTCATAATCTTGACCGGAACATTTTATGGACTACCTTGAATAGTGCGAGTGGTATCTATAACCATAAAAAATTCAATGAATCCAAATCTTCTTATCCAACAAAACATAGCATGAACAAATTTTTATTATCTGAGTTTGTTGGATATAGCATTGAAGATGAGCCTTTTTAAAAAACACTTTTAGGACTCTCAGCTCAATGGGTATATCCATTACTTAATTTCTTTTTAAAGCATTGACGGTTATTTCATTCTTGATTATTGTTTTTAGAGATGTTGAAAAGATTGGTACTGATTTCTCTCTATTGTTCATATGTAGGTATCATAGTTAGGGATGCAACGTTTAGTCAGTCAGTCAGTCAGTCAGATTTGAAACTCCTTTGCTTCAAAGGTATCTCCAATTATTCAAGCTCTAGGTTTTTTAATTTAAGAAAATAGATTATTTTTAATGCAAGTACTTACAGAAACTGTAGATGGCTCATGCCATCTTAAGAAAGGCTTTCTTACTTAAGATATAATAATGTCTGTAATAATTGCATTTCTTTTCCCATTAAGCTATCTTTTATTATCATCATCTCATGTGTTCTCCCCTTTTGTTGTCTGTATTTTCAATTTTATTTCAAACTGAAAGGCCAAAGGAAGGATCTGATCAAGCCCATGTTCTAGTGTGGTTGACATTGCGATTGCATACACCAAGAACTGCACAGCATCCGCAGGGCTTGCTAGTGTGACAGGTTTCCTGGGGAACCTATCATGTTCTCAAGTGCTATTGACATTGCACAAGCACTGGACTTCACCAGCACCATGTCAATAGCACTAGCAGATGGGTATAATTCCATACTGCCCCATGTGAATAAAGTGGAGAAAACAGAAAAGTTTCTCTCCTTCCCCACCTTCTCTTTCTCAGAAAATAATGTGTTTTCCAAGATGTTGCATGTTGTATCTTTAAAATGTATCTTTAAAAAAATACTTTTTCCTTAATTTTTTCCCTTCAGTTATTTTATTCATATGAAAATTTGGTTAAAGCCTGTGGTCCAGTTTAGCTATACACTCGTTCCTATTCTACACAACTAGGCATGACTGTCTGAGCTCAGGGTCCACTTGACTTACATGCATGAGTATAACATTTAAATGTGGTGAATCTGTCCGAGATCTAATTACAAAACCTGAATAGCATGATTAATATTCCATTTATAATAAGGGAATTGACACTGTGATTTGGTCTTACCTGACTGCATTCCATTTAAACTTACCTTCTATATATGGATGTACAGAGTATGGCCGTAGGACCAGAGGTAAAAATTAGGATAAGATCTGATGTTTGAATCAGATAACAGCCCTCATCATAATATTTCTAACTGAATATGTGTTTTTAAATGTTTGGATGGCTTTTTGTATTGATTTGGGGACAGGTTAGGTGAGCTATATGTATATATGTTTATATAGCTTTCTGGTATTTTCTAGTTGGTGATTTAGAGAAGACAAACTCTAACTTACGATCAACTGAATGCACACAAGCAGTAAGCTTTAGTCTGTCATTCAGATGTGTGAGTGTTCACGGTCAGATAGTGTGTTTTTCTTGTGCAGATATAAATGTACTTATTTGAGATGATTCAAGAGTTTCTGGGTAGATCACTTAAGTTTAAATCACTCATTTTACAGATTTGTGATAGAAGGCTAGATGCTTGCATGGGCATTTTAGTGTTTCTCATGTAAGGGTGAGTGGTATATTGTATAAGGAACAAATCTTTGGAGTGCTGCAGTGAACACTCTGCTAATGCAGCTTAGTAACAGGTTTTGTTTCATACATTACACTGCTGGTTTGAATATACAGTGTATGTGAGGTGTTGCATGTGCAGCAAGTGGATGGGGCAGATAACAGAGGTTTACATGTATGTGTATAGCCTAACACAGAGATAATCTGCCATGTTCCTAGAGCTTGGTAATACACCAAGTTCTGTTGTATACAAGCAGAGACTTAAAAAGCAGCACCACACTCTCAGTAGTACTTCAAGGAACATTGAGGTGTATTGGATGCAGAACTGGGTTTGAGTCAGGGACGTCCTGGATTCAAAACCCTGTTCAGTTATGAAGCTCACTAGTATAGTGGAGTTTTTCAAAATTCTTCATGTAGCAGTCATTACTTATCTAGTAATATCTTCCACTTTCCTTTATATTTTTGGTAAGGATAATTAGAAGCCTTTCCACTCTGTAATTTCAAGCCTGTTCATATTCACATACAGTATTGTTTACATTTCCAGATCTTTATAGATTTTTCTTATATCTGTGGGTACCCCTCCCCTCCAGAGCACAAGATCTCTTCCGGCAAGCAATGAAAACTCAGAATATCATCTTAGAGGTGGTTCCTCCATACAACCGTGAACAATATGAGAAGTCTGTCATCGCACCACTATATCCCCCAGAGAACACTGAACTTGTCTCAAAGACAAAGGTTCCACCTCCCATCTATCCAAAGCCAGTGACGAAGGAAGTAGACCTATCTGGAATGAACAGTCTGGAGTCTGGTGTGCAGTCAGGGCTACATCATGCCAAGAGCCCCAACTTTCCAAGAGTTAGTAGGAAGCCATCATCACCATCTTTGTCACCACTGATGGGTTTTGGCAGCAAGAAAAATTCAAAGAGGATAAGGATAGATCTCAAGAAAGGTAATAGTCAAAGGACAAGCCTTTAACTTTTAGGCATAATTTATATGTTATAACTAGCAGAATGACAGCTGAAGTTTGATTTGTATATTAGGGAAGGATTGCGTTTACCACTTGGAGACAGAATGGATAAGTACAAATGCATGGGAAGTTATTTGCACTCCCAGTTGATTTCAGGTGCTTGAAAATGGGTGGTTGTGGGCTCCATCTTTAAAGGAGGCCTAAAATTAAATTTGAATAAATAATTTGTGTCAGCATGTTTGAAATAGTTACGTTTGTGGAGTTACTTTACAGAAATAACTTAGAATAAGAAATAACTATGTGCTTCCCACATAGTTCTGTTTTCCATTAGCACACACCTCTGCTCTAACATGTGAATTAGGTTTAAGGGAAGTTGTGACTTGAAGCCCATTGCATGTATATGAGGCTTACTTACATAATCTTGCTATATTCTGCTGAGCAGTGCTTACCGCTGTTTGACACTGCTTTGGTGAAATGCCTGGTTTCTTAAAGAACCCATATTTGACACAATTATGTTGTAGTCCTTCAATAGCAGAGCAGAATTAAGAGAATTTGGTCATACATCTTGAATACCTTTAGCTGAGCAACAGAATGTTGGAATGCCATTTTGCCTTGCGAGTTCATATCAGAAGTTCAACCCATGCACTAATTTTCAGGCATTCATAAAGGAGAATTAATTAATTTTAAATGGGCAACTTCTAAATGTTTGTTTCAGCATCATAATAAGACAGCAGACACTGTTCATGTTGTCATTTGAAGAACTTCTATAGGTATTTTTGCTGTCCCTTTCATCATAGATATCATCATATCACACTTGTTTGGGATCACTAAAATTGAGTAACTGTGTTCCTTACCTAGGATAAATGTGAAGAACAGGAGGAGATTAAAAAAACATATGATAAATGATGCTTATGATGTTTCTGGTTGAAAGGAGACTGAAGGCTTAGCAGCTGCTAAAGAAAGTTGAAAATGTGATCTTAATGCACCACTACCACTAAAATGAAGTGATTGGAGCCCTGCAGTGACACCTGATATGACACATGAATCTCCATGCTTGATCTTTATGATAAATGCTTCTGATAATAATTATCTTTCTGCCTCTGATAGTATCTTAGTTTCACGGATTCTTTCATCTGACTTTTAGGTCCTGAAGGACTTGGCTTTACTGTGGTTACCAGAGACTCTTCAGTACATGGTCCCGGTCCTATATTTGTAAAGAATATTTTACCACGAGGTGCAGCAGTTAAAGATGGCCGTTTGCAGTCAGGGGACAGAATACTGGAGGTTTGGAAGCTATTCCTTTGCAGCCAGTGAGAAAAGTTATTCAGTCTAGTGTACTGTTAAAAATATAATGTTGCATGCGTAAAAATGTTACTAGATCAGTCCTGTGCTGTGAAGTCATTCATCCAGCAGAGAGCCATTCATATATTCTCTTTGATTCTTTTATTTTTAATCCTGTATGGGATATGGGGTATGCTCTAAACAGGTATTTGAGGCATGTCTCAGGTTGGCACATCCAGTAAGATTTCTATTTCTGTGAGCAGGTGGGCTGCTGTTTGAGGTGGGCAAAGCCCAAGGATAAAGCCACTTTGGGTGCCTGGAACTAGTTGTGTGGTTCTCGCTGTCCTGGCCAAAACTCACTATTTTGTGCGCCCTGATTGTATTGGAAATGCTGCTTATCGATTTGTTGGTTTTTATTTCTTTAACTCTCTCAGACAGTTGTGACAAAATCTAGAAGCCTCTTCCCTCCACCCCTGCAAGAACCCTTGTGATATAAAAGAATGCTTTCACCCTACATTTTAATACCTTCAAATTGCTTGCAGCAGCCCTCTATGCACTTGACTCTAACGAGGGTACATTGTCATTTCATAGTAGTTGAAGGTAAGATGTCAAAATGCATCAGCAAACACCCCTAGTCAGTTGAAGCTAGGCTGACAAGAGCTGTCAGTCAAATGCTGAGAGTTATCTGACATATCATCATGCCAGGAAGTAGGGAACTGTTCCCTGTTGTTCCAGATAGTTTGAACCTCTTCTACTTTGCTCAGAATGTAGCTGTCCTGAGCCCCCAGTGTATGGAAGCAAGAAATGACTGCACATATAATGCTGTCATTAATTACTATAACTTCTGCCACCCATGATACAGAAGTAGTACAAATCCTTACACATCATAACATAGTCTGAAAGCATGCTTTCATGTGTGTTCATTCAGAAATTCAGTAGGACTTAATCCAAACTAAGTGTTCTGAATATTGTGCAGCTTCATTGTAGGATTAAGATTTAACTTTTCAGGTACCAGTGATTCAATATTTAATTTATACTTGCCCACAGTCATATGCACAAATTTGTCTTGATACAATGAGGGTTAACTGGTATGCTGAAATATTTGTGCATGTATACACTCACATATAGTTATTTATTAATAAAAATATGAACTGTCCAATTACAAAGTTTTCTGCACAATAAAATAATAAAGTTCAATAAAACTATGACAATAAAGAGCACTTATAAACAAAGAGATATAAAAGAGAATAAAATCAGCATAGCAAAAAGCTCAATAACACCAGAAATAAACAAGTTTTAGATGTGACTTTTAAAAGGCTTTGGAAAACAAAACAGTTTTCCCTAGGTACCCAAAATACTACAAAAAAGGCACCAACCAACTCTCAGGAGGAGATTCCATATCCAGGGTAAAAGAAATGAAAGGGCTGAAAGGGCTTTTCCTTTCTTCAGCATCCATCAGAGGAAGGTGTCAGGGTCTGAGTGGTGATCCTTCAGGTAATTGGTTTGTAAACCATTAAATGCTTTATGGGTCTAAACTCACTCTTTGAATCAAGGTGCTAGAAATAGAGTGCGGGCATATAGAAGCTTTCGATATTTGGTGGTACAGAAATATAATTAAGAATGATAACAACAATAATAGGCGCTGGTGCAAAATATAAAAGTTCTGGGCTGGATTGCGTTTGCTGCAGTTGTGGTGGCTTCCAAGCCCTTGCATGTCACTAATGGGTGGAGATGCTAATCATGAGTTTGATGATGCATATTGCACATACTATTAAATGATTTTGTTTACTGTGTGCTTGTGGCCTCCACCAGGTGAATGGTAGAGACATCACTGGCAGAACCCAAGAAGAGCTCGTAGCTACGTTGAGGAGCACGAAACAGGGTGAGATCGTCTCCCTGATCATTGCTCGTCAGGAGGAAACCTTTCTTCCCCGAGAGCTGGTAATGTTATATTTGTGTAACACAGAAAATAGAAGAATTGCTATTGTTTCTTGAATGGTTCTTAATTTCATTTTGATTTGTGAGACTGGTACTAGATAATTCTTTCAGGCTCCAAAGACAGCATTTGCCTGCAAGGCCCACCTGTAAAAGTTGATTAGCTAAGCAGGGATGGGGAGCCAGGCCTCCCTTGTTCTCTTGTGGCGTTCTAACAGCTTTGATCTGCAGCTCCAATCTCCCTTCATCATTGGTTCTGCTGGCCGTGGCTGATGGGAGTTGCAGTCCAAAAGCCTCAGAATAATCATGCAATTCCTCCTGCTATTCTGACTATGACAGCACACTGGCTTTGAGTAGAGGTGTTAATGCTGTGGTTATGGGGTGTGTTATAGCATCATTAATCCTGTGGCCTTTACCATGTTCTGGACAACTACATTAGATGAAAAAATTATTTGCCTGGCCAGGATTGCTCATGCAGTCATAGAACTGGAAAGAACTGAGAGGCAAAACCTCTTGCCAGTCAGTTTTATCCACCCAGTTCCCTGCAGTCTACGGAGTACAAACCCAATAGTATCAAAAGCAGAAGGCTTGCCCACAAAGCAAATACCTGCTGAGGCTGAAAGAACCAGCCTATCAAGCCATTCCAAATGCAGTGTTACAATTCCTGAAATGTTTAAAAATCATCATACCGCAGACCCCCAGCAGATGCCTGAAACTGCAGGTAGTAGTGAATACTATATACATATACATTTCTTTTTTCACATTTTTACCATACATCTTAGCAACCTCAGCATACAATTCTCTTTTTTTTCCCTGTTAAATCGAGAAGTTTTACTTAAAAGAAGCATTTTATGACTTTTCTTCGGCACCTTTTGACTTCTTTTTAGGACTGAGGTCAACCGTGCTTAAATGAAAATGCAGTAACAGTGGATACAGTGGTCCTGCTGTAGAGTAATAGCTTCATTTGGTAGTTCAAAAAACCACAAATATGTTTTACAGTGTGCATAACAGGGGTGATCTTTGAGATGGTCTAACATGGATATTTTCTAATTGCCATTATGGCTGGTTTTGTTTGTTTGTTTGTTTATTACTTTTCTACCCAAACCTTTACTGACATCTTGGGACAGCTTACAATAAAGAACAAATAAAATACAACAAACACAGCATCCAGCAAGTCAAGAAAAAAAACTCCAGTTAAAACCAAGTAAACATTAAAATATTGGCAAAATAAAAAGGTTTTCACCTGACGCCAAAAAGAATAAAGCATCGGTGCCAGGCAAACCTCTCTGGGGAACGTATTCCACAGATGGGGCGCCACCGCAGAGAAGGCCCTCCTCCACGTAGCTACCCTCCTAATCCCCATCAAGGAGGGCTCGTGGAGCAGGACCTCCACCTCAGATCTCAAGGGGCATATAGGGAAGAAGACTCTCCTTCAGGTATCCAGGACTCAAGCCATTTAATTAATTAATTAATTAAAACATTTTTATGCCGCCCCATTTGCCGAAGCCTCGGGGCGGCTTACAACAATAAGTTAGGTATCATAAGTAGAAATTAAAATATATACATTAAAATAAAATACAACTATACAATAGAAAATAAGCTGCCCTGGCCAAATAAAATTCAATAATATTCAATAATAAAATTCAATAATATTCAATATTACAATTTCAATAATATTAACATTTAAAATGCTGCTTAAATAAAAAGGTCTTCGCCTGGCGCCAAAAAACAAGTAACGACGGCGCCAGGCGGACCTCTCTGGGGAGCGCATTCCATAACTTAGGCGCCACCGCTGAGAAAGCCCTCCTCCGAGTAACCACCCTCCTAATTTCTTTCACGGAGGGTTCCCAGAGAAGGGCCTCTCCCGCCAATCTCAGGGGGCGGCTGGGCATATATGGATGTAAGCGCTCCTTCAGGTAACCAGGACCCAAGCCGTTTAGGGCTTTATAGGTCATCACCAACATCTTGAATTGGGCCCGGACTTCAATGGGAAGCCAGTGAAGCTGTCGGAGAACTGGAGTCATGTGAACATAACGTCCAGTCCCCGTCAGCAGCCTGGCAGCTCTGTTTTGAACCAATTGAAGTATCTGGACCATCTTCAAGGGTAGCCCCACGTAGAGCGCGTTACAGAAGTCAAGACGGGAAGTCACCAGCGCATGTGTCACTGTTGCGAGGCAGTCGTACTCCAGGTAGGGGCGCAGCTGATGAATCAGCCGAAGCTGGAGGAAAGCGCTCCTCGCCACTGCTGTTAACTGAGCTTCCAGTGAAAGTTCTGGGTCGAGGAGCACTTTCCTCCAGCTTCGGCTGATTCATCAGCTGCGGCACTCCCTCTTAGGGACAAGGTCCGCAGCTTGGGAGTGCAACTTCATTCAGGACAAGGTTCAATTCACCCTCTCCGAAGCCCGATCTGCCAACCAACAGGACCTCCGTCTTGTCTGGATTGAGCTTCAGTTTATTGGCCCTCATCCAGCCCATTACCTCGGCCAGGCACCGGTTCAGTACAGCCACTGCTTCACCTGGATTGGTGGAAAACGAGAGGTAGAGCTGGATATCATCAGCGTACTGATGGTTCCGCAGCCCACACCTCCTGATGACCACTCCCAGCGGTTTCATGTAGATGTTGAACAGCAAAGGGAACAAAATGGACCCTGCGGTACTCCATGGCATAACTGCTTTATAGGTCTTTATTTAAGGCTTTAGGGCTGTATAGGTCATCACCAGCATCTTAAATTGGGCCTGGACTTCAATTGGCAACCAGGGTAAACTGAAGACGACTGGCATTATATGTAAATAACTGCTGGTCCCCAATAACATCCTGGCAGCACTATTCTGAACCAACTGAAGTATCTGAACCATCTTCAATGGCAGCCTCATGTAGAGTGTGTTAGTTATTGAACTGGGAAGTTACCAGAGCATGGGCCACTGTTGGTAGGCAATGCTCATCCAGGTAAGGGCACAGTTGGTGGATCAGCCAAAGCTGAAGGAAAGTGGTCCTTACCACCGCTGCCACCTGAGAGTCCAGTGACAGCTCTGGCTCGAGGAGCACTCCCAAACTGCACACCCTATCCTTTAGGGGGAGTGCAACCTCATCCAGGACAGGGTTGAAATAATTTTCCTAGAAGACTGAACTGCCCACCAACAGGATCTCCATCTTGTTTGGGTTAAGCCTCAATTTATTGGCCATCATCCAGTGCATGACCCCAGCCAGACACCAGTTAAGGACAGCTACTCCCTCACCTGAACTAGATGTGAAAGAGAGGTAGAGCTGGGTGTCATCAGCATATTGATGACTCCTTAGCCAAAACCCCTGGATGACCTCTCCCACTGGTTTCATGTAGCTGTGAAAGAGCATGGGGGATAAAATGGAACCCTGAGGAATTCCATGGCAGAGCTGCCGTGGCGCAGAGCCATAATCCCCCAGCACCACCATGGTGCAAAATACTTTAATCTGAAAGCATTACATTCTACTGGACCAGTACAAAAAGAAGTTTACCTATACATGGAGGGTGATGTTCTGGCATATAACTATGTTGTCTCAAAAAAATGTAACCTCTTTGGCCTTCTCCCTATTATTTTGATGGATGTGTATATCCCCCCCCCCCTTACCCTGGAATTTACTAGGATAGAGGAAGGACAGCACTTCCTGCCTTTGTTTCTTTTTCTCCTCTTGGAAGACCCCCCACCCTGGTCCTTGCTTTCTGGCTCCAAGAACTCCTACTTTTCCCTTTGTCAAGAATGTACTTTTATTTAGTTCTGCTGTTACCCCCTTTTATTAGTGTAGCCGAATACAGAGATTACTACTCTTGAGTATGCACATTCTCACACTTCCTTATTTTGTTTACTTTTAGCAGCACAGCACTTGTTGGACTGGCTGCTTTGGTAATGAGAGCCTACTGTTGGTTGGTAGACCTACAGGAAGCCCCATAGTATGTATACTTGTTGTGAAGTGACCCCTTTATCTTTTTGCAGCTTCTGTCAGAGTTTCCTGCCCTCTGACTACTGATAAAGCAAGACTGCAGTAAGTTTGCTGAGCTTCTCCTCCTTTGGGATGGCGGTCCTGAAGCTGGAATTGCTAGATTTGTAGTCAGCACAGGAATTTGAGAAATACATATAATGCCCTACCTTGCAATTTTGCCACTCAGTGGTTTTCCTTGAATGAACAACAGTTCTGGGGCTGCTTGGTCCATTGGTAGGAGTCACGACTTTGTGGTTGTATGGTTTTCAGGGTGTGGGGTGCCACCCTATGTAAGATCACATGAAATCCTCTATCCAGATTATCTGGTTCTCCTACCCACAGTCTGTTTGTCTTGTCTAATTTAAGTCACTGTGTATTTGATCTCTGCCATCCTAAAAATGTCACCAGACATTCAGGCATTTAACAACCTCCTTCAGGTCATTAAAGGAGAACACAAGATAGAGCTGGGTGTTACCTACAGATTGATGGTACTTCAGACCAGCAAATTACTTCCCTTAGTAGTTTCATGTAGATGCTGAAAAGCACAAGGGACAAGATGTTGTCTGCAAGCCAATGACTATGGGCTAAAGTAGAAATTTCCAGGTGCTGGCTTCTGAGACTGTTCATTCAGAAAGACACAGAGCCACCATAAATGCATTGCCTGCTATGCCTAACCTGGAGAAGTGATCAAAGATCATGGTGATGTTATTGAAACTCACAAAGAGGTCCAACTGAGTCAGCAAGATTACACTTACCCTACCCATTCACTGGTATAAAGCCATCTGTTAGAGTAACCAAGTCTTTTTCTATCTCAAAGCTCGGCCTGAGGCCAGTTCAGATTGGATTTAATAGCCAGTATCACCTAACTTCACCTGGAATTTAGAATGCCAAATTTAACAATGGTTGCTAATTTCAGAAACCAATGAGCCAAGACAGGTTTCTTCAAAAGTGGCTTCCCCATTGTTTCCATTAAAACTAGTGGGAGACAGCCCATCCTTCAAGAGGCATTAATGCCCTCAAAGTCCAGCATGGCTCTGGCTGATTTCAAAAC